AAGTATTTAAGAGCAAGAACTATGTCTTACACATCTTTGTATTCCTAGAATTTGGCACACAGTAAGGATTCAACAAGCGTTGGTTGAATAAGTGAGTCATTGTGAACATTTAAAATTATCAGGCGTGTGTGCTACAGCTCTGTTTGAATTTGTCTAAGAGGTTTTCCAGACTTTACTGGAAAATCACCCTCATGAAAAATAAATAAATAAATAAATAATCAGGTGTAAATATAGACATAACCAACATATATGTACCTAAAACAAAATACACGTGTGTGTGTGAAGATCACTATTATGACGCTGTGTTCAGGGAAACGTTACAGGACATTAGTGTTATCGTGCACCAAATTCACCCCGTGTGATGTGCCAGGGAGGGGCACTGGACAGGAGCTGGAAGAGCTCTGTTCCTGGCTCTTCAAGCGATTTGAGTGACTTTGGTCAATAATGTAAACTCTCTGGCCTCCCCTCCTCTGCTGACGATGGTCTGTGTGGCTCAGGAGACAGAGGCAGATGCTCTAGTCCTGCCCATGCCTTACACGCAGAGGTAAAAACCAATCTTTGATTTGTGGTTGTATCCCACCTCGGATTCACTATCCAAGTGAAGCCTTGCCTCCAAGAAGAGTTACCCCTTTCCTCTTTATTTGGAGAGGAAGGAGTAGGCCCAGGGGAGTCATGGAAGGCAGCTGTGAGGGGCAAATCCAAAGTCGATGCTGACAATTTGGGATTCCATATTTTGTAGACCTCATCGCCTCCATTCTGTCTGTCTTTCTTTCCAGCCCCGAAACCAAGGTCTTTTCCTTCTGCAGCATTCCCATCTCCCTCTTAAGGCCAGCTCAGCAGCAGTAGCAGGAATGGAGAGTGAGTTGGCCTCTGGTTCACAGCACAAGTCCATGGTTATATATCACTGAAGCCAGAGGCACTGAAATGCTAATGGAGCTCTCATTTCCCAAGCAGCTGTCACCAGGACAGCAGATGGCAGTTGTGACAGGAGAGTGATAGCAACCTGTTTATAGCTTGGTCAAGGTATGATGCAGATTTCAGCCAGTCCCCAGAAGCCACAGCCTGCTCCTCACATTTCACAATTGGAAACATACTAATATCTGAAGTCAGTATCTGTGGAGGTTCCTAAGAGCTGGCTCGTGGCCCAAGTCCTCAGCCTTCTTGAGTCCTTGGTAAAGAAACAGAGGAACATATTTCTGTCTCTGTCTCTCCTCTACCCTCTTTCTTTTCTCTGTCTCTGTGTCACACACACACACACACCTGTTCACATAACAAAAACTGAAAATGTAAACACAGATGGCAATTTTAAAAATAGACATCACAAATATGATTTGAGGAGCACGACAAATTTGCTTCTGTCCTTCTTGCCCTTTGATACCTCTATTCCTTTTGTCCCTTCTTCTTTTCTTCTGACTTAACTGAGAGAGACTTCAGACTTCACAGTTCACCTGGTTCAATTAATCCAATGAGGAAACTGTAGCCCAGAAAGGTTAAGAGATTTGTCCAATAGCACATGTATTTAGTTTTAGTCGGCTAGAAAGTTCAAAGACAGACTACCTTTCCTCAGGGTCAGACTTCACAGTTCACCTGGTTCAATTAATCCAATGAGGAAACTGTAGCCCAGAAAGGTTGAGATTTGTCCAATAGCACATGTATTTAGTTTTAGTCGGCTAGAAAGTTCAAAGACAGACTACCTTTCCTCAGGAGAAGAGTAGACTCTTAGGATCCACATGAGGGCATAATTATTCTTATATCCCCTCCAGTCCAAAAGGTAGTGGTCAGAGAACTATATTAACTATCCCCCAAAAACCCAATGATAATTACACATTTTCCTTTTATCTGAAAATACCAATCATTTCAGTTAAAGAATAAGCTGAATATAGTTTCAAAAATGCTCCTTCTGTTCACTAGGAAAAAATTTAAACATACACAAAATAATAGACAGCCATGTACCTGTCATCCAGACTTATTAAACTTGCTGCCATCACCATTTCATGGCAACGATGTTCATTATTACTTCCTTTTAACAATTGTGTTTGTAGTTATATGTGTTTGATCTATGTAAGCAACATAAATATAAAAAGGACTTAGGAGTATACAAGGGAGTTTCTTTGGTTGTCGCAAGCTTTTAAAATTTAGAGTCAATGAGAGAAATACTAAAAAATAGTTCTTAGTGGTGAGAAAATAGGAAGTCACCGTTCTATACATTTTCCCAGCTGTACCTCTGCTACTACACAATCTTTTTAGCCAGGGCTTTTTTGCCAAATGTCTGTTAAAAGCAAAATAATGTTCTCATCTTTACTCGGACTCATTAAACTAGAACAACAAACCCAGATCAAAGAAAGTAGAGAGAGAGTGGGGGCAGGGATTGAGAGGGTGGGATGGCAGTTTATAATCTGTTGTAGTTGAAGAGCTTCAGCTAATTTACACCCAACCCCAGCAAGAAGGCGAAGGGGTTTAGGGTCTCCAGTGGAAGTTCTCCAGGTCACCATACATCTGCTTTTGCCCTGCTGTGGATCACTGAATAAATCACCTCTTGACCCAATTATGCAACCATTATGATTCACCTTCCTATGGTACGGCATCTTGAAGAGTCATGAATCAATGCCTGGAAATGGCATGGAAAGTCCTGCGTAATAAAGAAGTTTCTTCACAGTAAACGTTTAAAGAAATGCTGAGGCTTCATTTCTTTGCCTTCACTGAAATTTTTTCTTCTTTGTTAGCTCTGCCTGTCCGTTTGCCTTTTCCTGTTTTTTGTCCCGCTACTTGCGTGTGTGTGTCTTGCTGTCTCCTCTCCCTGTCATTGTGTCTCTGAGCCTGTGTTCTCTCAGTCTATTCATTAGGGAATTCTGCTCCAGGCACACATACACCTGCATCTGCCGCAGGGCTGCTCCTGGCCAGCGGAGGAATGCCACTTGGAATGTGGATGTTCAGAGTTCTGCCCTTTGACCTGTGATGATGAAGAGGAAGGGAGCCATGTGGCAGGACCTTTGCACCTATGCTCAGTGTCCAGGGCCTCTAGTTGGCTGCAGGACTGCCAGAAGCTTCCTGGCAGGTCCTGATTTAGAGGATAAAGGAAGAGCTCGAGTGTCCACGGTACATTCTTCTCCCATAAGACACACATCATTTCTTGAGCCCCTGTTTACCTCACAGCATACATGTGCAGGCCTTCATGCACACAGCAGACTCTGGGGGCTAGATGCAAATTTGAGGAGCTCTGTGTTACAGGCTGAGATGAGGTACCTGCCTGGTACCCCAGCAGAACATGGATTTCAGGTGCCCTACTTGCTTTTCCAATCTGCAAGGGTGACTCTCCTTCTCACACATAAACCAGCCCCCAGTAGGGTGAGTATGAGGTAATTGTGTTTTCCTCTCCTCCTGGCAGCAAGGGACTTGTGACTTCTGGTGCGTCTACCCAGAGACTGGCCTCACCTGCAGCCCATTGGTCAAGCAGCTAGAAGCAGTTGCTCCCACTGCCATCTAGAGGCCCGCTTGAGTACTGCATCCATGAACTACTAATGAGCCCTGCTGTTGGATGGCCTCTCGCTTCCCCTGGTCATATTAATGCTTTCCTCTTCCATCTTCCGCCCTGCCCAGGCTGGTGCCTGCTGTCTTAGTGCCTGTGTTGCCTCGAGGTGCACTGAGACTCAGAGTAGACCTGGGATGAGGAGGTAGTCGGTGGCAACTGAGAGTCTGTCTAAATAGGAAGTTCAGAGAGCCTGGATGACTGAAAGGCTTCTTGCTGGTTCTGCAGCAATTGCCAACCAATCCTGCCTTCCCATTTGTACCCCCACCACCAGTCGGTGCATGTCATGGTGGCCGCTGTTATCTACTTGCCTATCCAGGGTGTTAGGGGGATTAATGAGCTGAAAACCTGGAATGTCTCCTCGCTGCTCGTGGCTTTTCGGGCCCTCTTGGTCCCCTTCCACCTGCACCCATGATTCCCTGATGTTGTTCAAGCACTTCCTGCAGTCTCATTCTCCATGTCTTTGCTGGTATTCTTCCCTTCACCTGAGAGTCTTTTCAGCTCTTCCTCTGCTCCTGGCTTTTCCCTCCACTTGTGAAAATAATACCTAGAAGATTCAATGCAGATGCCCTCTCTCCATCTCTGCTGCCCCCACCATCCAGAGGTGACCTTGCCTTCCACCTTCTCTCACGGGTACTCTGCCCCTCTCTCTGACACTCATGGGGCTGGCATCCCCACTCACTTGTGTAGGCTGCAGCTGACTTACTCATCTCTGTATCTGTGTTATAAGGCAAGTAGAAAGGGCTCACTAAGCATTTACCAACTCGCATCAGGGCTCCTAGTGTGGTTCACAGGTACTGAGCTCTCACTACATGTGGGGCACTGTGCCAAGTGCTTTAGGAACACTACTCCTGGCGCTGCCTACAACAGCCCTATGAGCGACGTGTGATTTTTTGAGGCGCAGAAACTGCTTATATCACTGACTGTTCTCTCTCTTTCTCCACCTCAGGGGGTGCTGACTGCACAAGCACTGTTAATATCACAGGAGCTTCTGTGCTGCATAGTGTCATCGAGTGTCACCCAGTAGCCAGTGAGGTGATTCCTATGTGAGGTGGAGGGGAAATGTGGAGTTTTTAATGTAAAATGCCACAGTTGTAGGGAGTTGTAGGTGGGAGACGTAAGTAATCTATTGGGGGGAGGGTTTAGAGACTCCAGGAACTAAGATTGGTTCCAGTCACAGGCTGAGAAGATGTCCTTTGGTCTTGGGGGCAGATGCCTCCATATTCAATGTTTGATTTCCCTTTTTGATGATTCTAACCTTATGCCTTTATTCTTAGTTCTAGTGGATTGATGTGCTGAGGCACTTGAGACAGGGTGACAGGGGTGGTGCCCGTTCATTTTATTCAACAAATATTTATTGAATGCTGATGATGTACCAGGCATGGGCTGTGCTAAGGAGAGTGGAAATATATTCACCTTCTGTGTCATACTAGAACTGCTGTTGGTTTCATTTCAATTTAAAAAATTTGAGTACCTTAGATAAAACATCTGGAACTTGAAACACAATTGGCAAATTCATATCCTTCTTGGATGAAATCAGAAAAGTGGCAGACGAATGAGGAGATCTAAGTAATGAAAACAAGAGAAAGTTAGAACCACAGTCCCCAGTTTGAAGAGCCAGGCTCGTTTCAGAGGATGCAGGGACACCCCTGGCAGCTGCCTTCCACTGTAATTCTGGAGGGCTCAGGCCATGAAGGAGCTCCCCAAAGATGGCTTTGCCTCCTAAGTGACTTTGGCTTCTCCATTCCTTTTGTTTTGAAGTAACTAATGCCTGTCCTGGATTGTCAAGACAGTATACAGATAAGGCACGAAAAAGATTGTTCCTAAAAGCAGATGTGTAATGAGTAAAATGTGCCCCAGGTCTCCTTTTTGAAATGGTGTGTGTTGAAGCCTTTTGATGTTTAACAAGTACCTGTCCTTTCACACCTGACCTGCATTTTTGGATTATGTGTCCCCACACACTAAAACCAGCCACCTGTGTCCTCCCACAGGACTCTTCTCCCTCGCACCACTCTTTTCCTCTGCAATGTTCTTTCCAGTGAGCAGGTGAAGCAGTGATGTCGCAGGGACCGTACCAGTTCTCTTCACAGGGTGACCTGCCTTTGGCTGGCCTCACCTGCCACTGGGGTTCATTGTATCCCAGGGTGAGGGGCTGAGGCTCGTGGGTAATCAGAACCTGCCTGTATGTGCGTCACCGTGTCTGCCCCTGGCATCCAAGAAAGGGAAACTCAGAATGCTGGTAGTTTCACCAAGAACACCTCTCCTCTCTAATAAGGAAAGCTTTTATTGTCTATTGTTCATTTAAAACAAAGGCGTGTGTGAAAGGCCCTTGGTGTTCATGAAGCATTTATTGTTTCGTTTCTCCTCAGCACTTCCCTGGGCCCACTGAGACTGAGGGAGGAAGGTCTGACCCGAGATCCTTCACGGACTTTGTCTTTGGTGTGGGAATAGGCTGCACTGGACTTGTCACCTAAATGCTGACCAGAAAACACCAGAAGACCAGTTTAGAACTGCTTCAGCACACACTTGTCTCATTTAAGCAGGACCTCAGTGCGACCTCCAGGACTCTGGAGACTGACGGTGGATGTGGCTTCAAGCACTGTCAGGCCAACCTGAGAGAGTCCTCCTCGAAGGAAGGGGGTCCGTACAGCCCCTTCCCCTCAGAGCCAAGCCTCACCTCCTCCCAGCCCGCAGGTGTGTTTCCAGAGCTGTGGTTGGGTGTAATGTGAGCATGTTCACTGAATGTTCCTTTATGTTTTCAGACTGTTCTTTGTAAGAACTGCTTGCCCAATGCTATGCAATACTTCAAGCACATTGAGAACCTTCCCCCAAAGTCTCAGAAGAAGGTTTTGTCAAAAATAAACAGCTTGGAACCCAGAACTTTGGCCAGATGAGGAGCTTCTGATCCTTAAGAACTGTCGATACTTAAACAAACCATCCTTTCAAAAGATACTGTGTGCCTGTCTTGTCCTTCTGAGAGCTCAGGGCACCTCACAGGTGCTGTCCAGTCTTCTAGAATTCTTGTGAGGTAGGTAAGCTCCATTTCACTAAACAAGGATTGATATTGCTGTCCAAAACCTCCTGTATAGAAATGAGTAGAGCTTCACTGCCCACCTTAGATAATTTCTCCTTGCGACTAGCTAAAGTTTGGCTGGCTGCAGGAAGAACTACCCCTTCCCTTCCTAGCTGGCTGTTGACAGACTGTCTGCTGTGATGCTCCAGGACCTGCCTGTAAAGGTGAACAGGTGCTGCAGATGCCCAGCTGTGCTCTGGGCCTGTTGTTCTCACGCCCTGCCCTGCTCCCTACTCCCCGCCCTCCACCAAAGGCTTGTACAATTAGGGAACAAAGGAGCTGGGGACAAGAGAGCCATGCACAGGGATGCTTTGCTCCTGGCTGCAGGGGCAGGACTAATGGGCATGGGGGTAGTAGGGGATGGTGGGATGTTAGTTTCTTACATGTCAATTCCACATTTAAAAAAAAGTCCAGATTTCTACTATTGTTAGAAAATTCAGCAGATTTGGCCATTGGACTCACATACCTGCAGGCAACACTGACTGGGGTAGAGGCAGGCTGGCCCCCTTGGTCAGGGAGGCGATCTCTCATTCACTGCAGTTCCCATATGGCCAGCTGTACTCACTCTGCCACCCATCTGACTGTCATCGGCATGTGCGTTTGTGCCCCACCTCCAATTAAAAGATACTAAACTTTCATTACTCATGGTAACCCTTGAAGAGTTAACTCTTAATAAGAACTTAGTAGTTTTATTTCCTAAACCAGTCTTTGGGTTTATCGAACCTCTGATTGCCTGCTTTAGATATATTCAAAGTTATGCAAAAATAACAGAACCCAACAACAAGCATTCGAAAGTACTTTTGCATTTTTCTCTGAAAATACACAAGACTGTCTAACTGCTTACTGAGAATGTTGTTTTTTAAAAGGTGCAGCAGACAAAGCAAAGGTACGTGCTACTGAAGTGCGGATGTGGAGAGTGATGGGATGTTCTTCATGGAGAGTCACTTATCTATGGACAGGAGGGTACATGACAGTTACCATTGGGAGGAAAAACTCTATGGAGAGTACAACCTTTCTAGCAAGTTGCCCCACATGCCAGGGAGCCAACCTTTGTTAGTGTATAACGTGCCTGTGAAATTGCCTCCAGGCCTGCCCCTTCCTTGTCCTGTCTCTGGTTTTTCCCACCCACCCCCACGTTATCTCACACCCACCCGTCCTTCCATTTCCTCTTCCCAGAGCAGTGTAAGTACAACCTTTCTAGCAAGTTGCCCCACATGCCAGGGAGCCAACCTTTGTTAGTGTATAACTTGCCTGTGAAATTGCCTCCAGGCCTGCCCCTTCCTTGCCCTGTCTCTGGTTTTTCCCATCCACCCCCACGTTATCTCACACCCACCCGTCCTTCCATTTCCTCTTCCCAGAACAGTGTGTGTCACCACACCTAGGCGCCATTTCATAAAAAAATGGAGAAGAAAAGAAGAAACCCAGTTATTTCAAGCGGCAGCTGAGTGCTCCTTACACACAAATTTCTCCAATTTTGAAAAACAGAACTTTGTGTCCTATAACGGTGTGTCTAGAAGGGGTGGAACTGATGAGATTGGAGGAGAGTGCCTCAAAGTTAAATATAGACGGTTGCTATTCTGTAAAAATGGAAATTTATAGTTCTAGACTTTTGAGGGTTAGAATTTTGAAAATTTCAAACTAAAGGAGAGGGAAAAAGTGGGGTGAGGAAGAGGATGGAAGAGTTTTGAAAGGCAGTGTCTAGGGGGCAAAATTCTCTCATATTGTTGAGTGGTGGTGGTAGAGAGGGAGGTTATTTGGGATCTCGTCTCCTTCTACCAGGCCTATATTCAGCCTTCACTTTTATCTGAGAAACCCAGGACATTTCTGTTTTTTGAGCACGTGATTTGGGGTTCTCAACTGATCAGATGGGCCCCTCTGATAAATGCCACCCATCCCTTAAGAAATCATCTTCTGCGAAACCTTTCTTGAAACCGTCACCCTCAGTGGCTGGGTAAGTTACCTTTTGGGGAGGCTAAGCACTAATGGCTTGTTTATGAAGCTGGCCTTGCTAAGCCAAGGAACCTTGTCAAATTTTGGAACAGAAGCCTGGAGAGAAACAGAAAGAGATCATTTTACAGAACTTATAGCAGTTGATCATTGCTATCCAGGTAAGCTAATAGCAGTCAACAGTTTACAAAACATTTCTATGTTTTATATTTGATTCTTTAAACCATCCCATAAAGTAGCAAGAGCAAATAGTGTCATCTCTATTTTGCAGATGAAGAAATCAAAGCTCAGATACTGTGATTTGCCCTGAGTCACAAGGCTAGTAAATGGGTTCATGTTTTCTGACTTCTGTGTCTACTATATCCTGCGTTCCACTGTATCCCTTTGTTTCTTTATTCTTCCATCTGTTTATACATCCTCTAATATTTCCACCAACTCAGCTGAATATTAGCAATCTCCTGTTCCAAGCCTCTTTTCAGACACAGGGCCCACCACCGTCACCCATTCAGGGAGGAAAAGAGGAAAGAACCAAGCTTTGAAGCTATAGACAACTGGGTATTGATCTCGCTTCTTCCACTTCTCAGATGCTTGACTTTAGACAAATTACTACCTCTCGGAGTCTCAGATCTGTCCACTATGAAAAGGGAAATGATATTAACTCTGTAAAGGTCAATGAACAAAAAATAAAGTCCCATGAGAGCAGGGATTTTTGCCTGTTTCGTTCACTGCCGCATCGTGAGCACCAAAAACAGTGCTAGACACCCGTACACACCTAGTATCTGTCCCACAGACACATGGATGGCTCCAGCTGAGGGCCTGAAAAGAGGAACTCAACCACAGAGGCTATTATTGTCTTCTGCCAGCCCAGCTTCTGTCCCTGCCCTCTCTCTCCCTACCCAGCCCTTCGGAGGGCAACTCTCCTGTCTCTGTTGGGGATTTCCTTCAGTCTCTGTTGGGGGTTTCCTTTGGCTTTGGGGAGGTTCTCTAGAAAGGAGCCCGGAGGTCCTCTGAGCAGCCAGGAGGGGGCAGCAGCGGCCTCGCGGTGCCCCCGGCCGGGGAAGGGCGCTCTTGCCGCGGAGGTGGCGGCGGACCCGGAAGTGCTCGGCCGCTGTCGCAACCCCCCCAGCGCCCCGGATGGGGAAGAGGCGGGCGGTTGCCCTAGCCCGGCTGTGCACCCCTGTGAGCTCACGGGCAGGTGAGTTCCGTGTGAGAGTCGGTGTTTCCGGGCCTTCTCCTCTGCTGTGCCCCGCAGGCCGAAGACTGGGTGAGGGGCGGCGGCGGGCGGGGGAGGCCCGGAGGGTGAGCAGGCGCGCTGGGAACACCGCTTCCTGCCCCCGCCCAGCCCCGCTCCCGACCCTGAGGGCGAGCGTTGACTTTTTCGGCGCCGCGAGTCCTCCGCCGCCGTGAGATGGCGAGCTGGCGAGCAGGGGTCCCGGCTGCGGTGAGAGGGGTTCTCAGGGCGGCTGGCTGGCGAAGCAAAACCCATCATGTGGTCTCCGTGGAAGAAATAAGGTCGGACAGTGAGAATTTTGTTCTCAGATATGCTGGGTGACTTTGGTATTTCTGAGGCTTAGTTTTCCCATTGTGGAAAACGGATGATTATCTTTTTCACTCTTCATGAGAGTTTCGCCGTTTTAAGTAGGATGATAGCTCTTTAAAGGGTGGTAAGCTCATCTAATGGATGAAGACTCTTTAGTTTGAGTTCTTGGCTTTAGCTAAATAAACTGTAGAGCTTTTGTCTTTCTGTATAGTGCAGTTTACTGTTGTCTTTAGAACGATAACTTAAAAAAAAAAAAAAGCAGATGCCTTTGAGAACCCAATAAAAGCTATGGATACTATCCCTGTAGATGTGCATAAATTGCAGATACTGGCATGTAGTGTCACATACCAGGGGTATGTGAACCCTAGTTAAGAACTGTTAGAGGGAGATATGATGTGACGTAAACTTTGAGATCAACCTTTGGTTTGAATCCTTGCTCCCCTATTTACCATTCTTACATTGGGCCAAAGTTACTTAAGCAATTTGAATCGCAGCTTTTTTGATTAGTTTAAATGGGACTAATATTCACTTGCATGGTTGAGAAGATTAAATGAAAGACTATACATGAGGCATTTAGCACATAGTAGGTGCTCAATGGGTGGTAGCCAACAGATATCTGTTATTTTTCAAGAGATGATGTCTTAAAAATCTGAAATGCAGTTTTAATGTCCCAAATTATAAGATGGCCACTACATAATATTTTGCTCAGATTTTTAGTAAACCGAGTTGGTTTGATTTTAGCTCAGTCCCACTCTTGACCTTTCACAACATTTGTAGGTTCATAGTCTCTCTTTTTTTAGGAACTTGGCTGTGTCGTCCTGCCTCAAAGAACAAACTCATCTATTGCAGGCCTAGCCTGGACTGCTGCCTTTGAAAACAAGGAAAGGCTGGTAGAATGTCAACCGCAGCACAGCATGGAATTTCCAGAGAGGTCTTATTTCAAAACTTCGTGAGGAATGAGAACCACATTGACTTCTTCAAGGGAGATTGAACTGGCCTGAGTTTGAGGGCAAGGATAATGTGTGCCCAACCTGTAACTGACACCAAGGAGGCCAAGTGGCAGAAAGTCTTGTATGAACGACAGCCCTTCCCTGATAACTACGTGGACCGGAGGTTCCTGGAGGAGCTCCGGAAAAACATCTATGCCCGGAAATACCAGTATTGGGCTGTGGTATTTGAATCCAGTGTGGTGATACAGCAGCTGTGCAGCGTCTGTGTTTTTGTGGTTATATGGTGGTATATGGATGAGGGTCTTCTGGCCCCCCACTGGCTTTTTGGGACTGGCCTGGCTTCTTCACTGATTGGGTATGTTCTGTTTGATCTCATTGATAGAGGTGAAGGGCGGAAGAAGAGTGGGCGGACCCGGTGGGCTGACTTGAAGAGCGCCCTAGTCTTTATTACTTTCACTTATGGTTTTTCACCAGTGCTGAAGACCCTGACAGAGTCTGTTAGCACTGACACCATCTATGCCATGTCAGTCTTCATGCTGTTAGGCCACCTCATCTTCTTTGACTATGGTGCCAATGCTGCCATTGTATCCAGCACATTGTCCTTGAATATGGCCATCTTTGCCTCTGTCTGCCTGGCTTCACGGCTTCCCCGGTCCCTGCATGCCTTCGTCATGGTGACTTTTGCCATCCAGATTTTTGCTCTGTGGCCCATGTTGCAGAAGAAACTGAAGGCATGTACTCCCCGCAGCTATGTGGGGGTCACACTGCTTTTTGCATTCTCAGCCTTGGGAGGCCTGCTGTCCATTAGTGCTGTGGGAGCTATACTCTTTGCCCTTCTGCTGGTTTCCATTTCATGTCTTTGCCCTTTCTACCTCATTCGCCTGCAGCTTTTTAAAGAAAACATTCATGGGCCTTGGGATGAAGCTGAAATCAAGGAAGACTTGTCCAGATTCCTTAGCTAAGTTAGGGACCTCCATTATATTATTAAGGAAAGCTGATAGACTACTCTTCTAACTAGTATAAAATTTGAAAGCAGAGTTCCATTCTGGAAGCAGCATGTTGATGTGGGTGAGAGAGCAGAGATCAAGAGAATATTACCCAAAGGCTTGGTGAAGGTGTTTATCCTTTGTTATTTTGTGGGTGAAAAAGCTTTCTGTGGCCTTCTTGAATTATTGCCTCTCATTTATTATTCTCTGTAACAAATGTAGTGATGTGGTTTCTATTTATTAAAAAAATAACATTAATCAAGTTGTCTCATGATTTTTCTATAAGCACAAGGCAGACGGAAGGGGCATGAAGAGTGAATAGGAATAAATGTGTGTGTGTATGTTTGTGTATGTGTATAAAGTCACTTCTTTACACCTTCTTTTAATGTACTAATGCAAGCTTTCTTACTTATCTAAAGCTCAAATCCTTGCACCTGGATGCTGTGTCCAGTTTTGTTGCTCAAGATCACGGAAGTGGTTACTTAACCTCAACTCAGAGTTTCTACTTAGTTTTTAGTGAGGTGTGTATGTACACAACTAATTAAAAGGGTGATTGTGACGTGTCATAATACGTAAGCAAAATGCTAGGGGAATTCAAAGAGGCTGGAGATAAAGTTCAGCTCGAATAATTACAAAATAATTGAGAGGAGGTGGCATTTGAGGTTAGTCTTGGAGGATAGGTGAGATTTAAGTAGACAAAAGATGGTTTTAGGGCAATCTAGCAAAGGCCTTTAGGAGCCAGGTCAGTAATGTAAGCAAGCGAAACTGGCATCCTTTGTGTGGCTAATGGCAACTGTGGAAAACTATGCAGAGAGCATGCCCTGTTCAGTGAAGGCATCTGCTACTCTGCTGACTGATTGTTTCTGTTCAGAGTTTGGGCCTAGCTTCAGATCAGACCTTTACAACTTCAGACAGTTCTAAATGAAATTCCAATAACTGTAAATCTGATTTTTAGTATGAAATCTGACTTGTAAATAAATTCTGTCTCAAGTTCAAATGAATCAGGCCAAAAAACACATTTGCAGGCAAAATGTGAGTACTACTATGCTACATCTGTTCTTAGCACTCACACGAAGATGGGAAAGTGTTTGATGGGAGTTTAGGGTTATAGGAATTTGGCAGAGGGGATGTTGTGGAAAGTTGGAATGGGAGGTTTGAGTAGCTGTTTGGGGTCTATGAATATTCAATAGATTGCATTCTTTACTTCAGGTAATGGTGAGCAAGCCAGCTGTCTAAGGAAGGAGAAAATGGTCAAATCTTGGGCTAGTTATTTAACTATTTTGTATCTCAGTTTTCATCTGTAGAGTGAGAATAAAAATATCTGTCTAGAATTGTGATTGAATGAGATATATGCAAAGCTCTTTGACGAATGCTTGGCACAAGCACTGTATTAATGTTAGCTATTGTTAGTAAGCTGACATGTAGGAAAACTTGAAGAGGGCAAAGACAAGGTGCAAATTACATCAGGTGCCTCCCAGAATAGCTGGTTCGTCTTGTGATATTTCATTTGGGGCAAGTTTCTGTACTGTCCCCTTATTACTAGAAATTAATTTCAAATCAGAAATTTCATCGGGGGAATGGTATTAAGAAGTAATTTTTTTTTTTTTTAATCTCAATGTAGTTTTCTCAAAAATATCTTGAACAAGATTTTAAAATAATGTCTTTAGCTCTGTCATCTTGCATTCTTTTTCTGATTTTTATTTGGACAGGTGAATATTATGTTTCATGATACAAACAGGT